TGTATGTATATGTATGTATATACATACATATATATACATATATATGTGTGTGTGTGTGTCTGTATGAGATAGATAGATAGATAGATAGATAGATAGATAGATAGATGGCAGATGATAATAGAAGATAGATGGTAGCTGGATGACAGATAAATGATATATCAGAAAGATAAATAGATGGCATATAGAAAATTGATAGACATATAATAAATAGGTGATAAAGAGATGCTCGATAGGCTGGGGATAGATTCCCAGAGTCTACAGTGGAAGATCATGTGCCATGCATGCCTTCGTCCTCCCTACTAGATCTAGTCAGTGCCTGTTGGCTCACCAGCTCTCTTCTTCACACTGACATTCATAGAGACCTTAGCAGGATTCTCAAGGTAATACTCACTTAGAACCCACGAGTATACTCCAATCCTAACAAAAGTAGAAGAAACCTCAAGTCTCAGCAGGATATGTGGCTCCTTTCTGGAATGTTCTCCTATCTGGATTCCTCAGGCTTTTTGTTTCTTTTATTTGTTTTTATCTTTAATTTTGCTTTTTGAGAGAAAGCCTTGCTGTTTATTCTTGACTGGTCACACTATGTAGCTTAGGCTGGCTCCAAACTCCTGATTCTGCCTGAGTTTCTCAAGTGCTAGGACAATAGTGTGTGTCCTTGTGCCCAGTTCATCCCTTCTGCAGCCTGTCCTCCCTCCCTCCCTCCCTCCCTCCCTCCCTCCCTCCCTCCCTCCCACCCTCCATCTCTCCCTCCCTCTCTTTCTCCCCCATGAGACACAGTTGGCACTGGTGTTTCTCTGCAATGGATTTCCTTGAGCTGGACTGTAATCATGTGTTTGCCCTGTAGCAAGACTTGCAGTTCTTGGACACAGAAGCTGAGATTTATCTCACATTTGTACCTAAGAGTTCTCAGATAACTGAATATAAAGTCGTTGCCCCCTAACTATTGTTGAAGGTACACAGAACTCAGGGCAGCATTTTATAGAAGATTCAATTGAGATAGTTATTTCATGAATGACTGTGGGCTCATTTTTGACGCTTTTAAATCTTTTTACTCTTCAGTCTTGCTGGTTCTGGCCTGTGCCAAATACCTAGCTTTCTTCTGTCTGTTAAACTGCTCAGCAGATGTTATGGACACTTTGATCAACAAAGACTGGGCCTCTTTCTAACAGGAAATTTGTCTCACATAAGGGAGACTTCCAAACCCAGACCATACATTCTACTGTTATCCTAGTATTGTTAAAATTATTCAAGGTTTGTGATTTATGACTCTCTTTTCACATTCAAATTTCTGGTAATATCTTCCTAAGGAACCCTTTCAACAGCCGTTTTTACTGCCCTGAAATAAGTAAGGATAAGTAAGGATTTTTTTTTTCTTTTTAACAAAGATAGAAATGTGCTCTGGGTGACAAACATGTGACCTGTAGTGCTGACCTTGGGATCCCTTGATTCAGTTCTGATGTCACAGTGTTGCAGATTTGCATATTGTGATGCAAATTCATGTAGCTAAAATGTTTCATTTGTACTTCTGAAAAAGTTCATACTTTGTTTCCAAGTGTGTGAATTGAAGCTCCTGTGAGGTACCTCAGGGAAGTAACTGAACACTCTATCTCCGAGTAGATACATTGAGGAGAGAAGGAAGCTGAGCACACATGGGATATGAAAACATACACCATCTGAAGAAAAAGCTGCCTGAAAAAATTGCCGAGTCTTCTGTCTGAAGCCTGCTGAACATATATGCACTAAAGACCACGTGACATGGGATCTCAGTTAATTAGGGCTGAAGGCTACAGAGGGATCAGAAGCAGGAAGGGGCTCCATAAAGCAAGGGTATCCTTTTCTACCGGGTCCTTTGAGGTCTCTTGATGGAGCCTGTTCACGTGCAGTTAGCACTGACAAGTGTTGAAGAGATGAAAAAGAAAGAAACCCTCGTCTCCTCCCTCCTCTCTCTCCCTCATACCCACAGAAAACACCAAAATAACAACTGTAAATAGCCTCATCTCTCTTACATTCTCCCTTTCCTTAAATTCATCTTGCCTCAATAAATATAATGCCAGACACTTTTAGTTTTCTAGCAATAATGAAGAAGAGGAAGGGGATGGGAAACACGATCCTTCACGTTATTAGAATTGGACACTGGAAAGCTGGCGAGCAAGTTAGCCTTTGCTGCTGTTCATTAATCAGGATATACATGGATCTCTCTCAAACCTAAGAATTCCTGCACGCATGTAGGAGGTTAGATTATATCTAGAGCTTGTATTATAAATTTCTGTTAGTCACAAAGGATAACCAAACCTTATAAAATAAATAATGTTTTCATAACGTCAACCTTTGAACATCAGTATGAGAAAAGAAGATTGAGTTTTGGGAAGCTAAAATGTAAGACATAGAAAGGTGAAGGCAACTGTAGGGACACTGTGGGACACAGGAGGGAAGATGGGAGCTCAAGCAGAGTTGAGGATAGGACATAGTGCAGGTGCCACACTCAGGTGACATGCCAGAGGCAGGAGTGGGCCACATACTTGCTGAACATGTTTGACTTGGCACATCTTTGCAGGCCGCATGCTAGCCACAGTCACCCAAGGTTCTGTAGAGATGCCTTAACAGTTAAGAGCTCTTCTAGGGGGTGGGAGTTCAGTTCCCAGAATTCACGTGGTAGTAACAATCTTCTGTTACTCCATCCCTGGAGGATCTCGTGCCCTTTATTGGTATTAGTGAGTACCTTCACAAATGTACACACACACACACATACACACACACACACACACACACACAGAGACAGAGAGAGAGAGACAGAGACAGAGACAGAGAGACAGAGAGAGACAGA